CCCTTGACCTCCTGCAAGCGCTGGTAGACACATAGGGCTTCCGCAGCTACACATAAACACTTGGGTGGGCAGAACTTGGAGTGGGTTTATTCTCGTCTACCTTGATTGGCTTCGCCGCTTTCCATCCCTGGAATAAGCCACACCGGGTATCCATTCCTTTGTGCATGTGGCAGGGGTCAAGTTCGTGTCTGTGTGTGGCTCTCCCCATCTATAAGTAACTAGTTTTGCGTGATTTGCGCGATCTACGGGCTCTTTTCGCTTTTCTACATAGTTAGATAGCTTAGACAGACTCTTCTTCGCGCCTGGGACGTCCTACACGCACCGCACACCCTCCTACACCTCCACAACTCGGCTCACCTCGCCCTCCTTGCATCATCATCATCATCACCACCATATCTCACCTACTTCACCTATCTCCACCTCACTCCAGCATCAGGACACCATGTCCTCGTCTAAAGAGCTCACCTCCTCTCGTCCAGTTACGCCCCTGAACGACGTCGACTATGCCCAATGGGCAAAGGAGATGTGGGCTTACTTGGCTGAGAACAAGCTCTGGTGCATAGTCATCGGAACCATCAAGGAGCCGAGTGCAGGGGACCCGGAGCACATCACCTACCTCGAGAAGTCGGCTCAGGCCGCTGGGGCCATGTTCCTTGCTGTGGATGCGTCGCAGCATGTTCATTTTACCGGGATCGAGCTGGATGCACCTCTGATCTGGGGCAAGCTCCAATCCGTCCACCTCCAGAAGGTGTCTGGGGCGCATTACAACGCTCTGGACGCTGTTTTCGCCGTCAGAAGGCAGCCTGACGAGTCCTTCAGCGATCCCAGCGCTGATTGGAATGCAGACACAGGCGCCACTTGTCATATGACGCCCCACCATGACTGGTTCTCTTCCTACAAGCCCGACAAGATACCCATTCGCCTTGCAGACTCCAAAGTGATCTACTCGGCCGGTGTGGGCTCTGTGTGCTTCATGCCGCAGATAGGAGGGAAGCCTGGGCGGTTGCTCGAATTTGAGCATGTCCTGCATGATCCTGACCTTGGGTCTAGTCTCCTCTCTGTGCTGTATTTAACTCGCGAACGTGGTTTCGCTGTCTCGATCGAGCGCGACGCGATTTCCTTCCGCCGATCAGGAGCTCTGCTGTTCACCACGCCGCGCAACTCCAACAATGCCGCTTACCTCGACGGCAGGACGGTCCCACCTTTGCAGTTGGCTCAGCAGCTGATCGACCAGGGACTCGCCAAGGGCGTTGTCATTGCTTCCTCCGCTCCCCCTGATCCCATTTGCGAGCCTTGCATTGCAGGCAAGCAGCGGCGTCCCGACGTGCCCAGGATTGCCCAGCACCATGCCTCCAAGCCTCTGGATCTGCTGCACATAGACTTGCATGGTCCTGTGCCGGTCAGGACTCCGGAAGGCTACCGGCACTGGCACCTGATTGTAGACGACTGAACGCGCATCTACGGCCTCTTCCTGCTTCGCAGAAAGGCCGAGGCCTTCCCAGCTTTGCGACGCTTCATCCAATGGGCGGAGAACAAGCACGGGATGCGTGTTAAGGCACTCAGGGATGACAAAGGCGGCGAGTGGATGTCCAAGGAGCAGGAGCGATGGTGTATAGGACGAGGCATCGAGAGGCAGCACACCGTTCGCAACGAACCTCATCAGAACGGTGTTGCGGAACGAGCTAACCAGTCCCTGGCCAACGGTGCAACCTCTTTGCTCGTTGAGTCAAACTTGCCCCCGTCGTTTTGGGGTTATGCCGTTCAAACCTACGTCTATGCGCGCAACAGAGCGCCTACCTCTGCTCTGCCCGCGTCTCTGACACCCTACATCGCCTTCTTTGGGGAGAAACCGGATGTGGACCACCTGAGGGCTTTTGGATGTGCTGCCTACGTGCACGTGCAGAAGGACCCACGCCGTGGCCTTCAATCCCACACCCAGAAGTGTGTGTTCATCGGTTATCCCTCGGAGTACAAGGGATGGCTCTTCTACAACCCGGAGACAAAGAAGGTCTTGATCTCCAATGCTGCCATCTTCGATGAGCGCAGTTTTCCGGGTTTGAAGTCGGCGGCACACATGCGCAACGGGACTTGGACCCTCGTTCAGCTGCCTCCAGACCGGAGAGCCATAGGCTGTCGCTGGGTTTTCAAGGTCAAGCGCAATGCAGACGGTTCCCTAGAGCGCTATAAGGCTCGATTGGTCGCCAAGGGCTTCAGCCAACGCCCTGGGCTCAATTACAACGAGACCTTTGCCCCTACAGCCAAGTGGGCGACTCCACAAGCCGTCCTTGCCATGTGTGCCCTAGAGGACTACGAAGCAGACGCCGTAGACATCTCCGATGCGTTCCTCAACGGGGATTTAACGCAGGACGTCTACATGCTTCAGCCTGAGGGCTTCGAGCAGGGTGACAAGGACATGGTCTGCAAACTCAACCGTTCTCTGTACGGTTTGAAGCAGGCCTCACGAGTCTGGTACCAGAAGCTGGACGGCGCTCTGCAGGAGATGGGATTCGCTCGCACCCGGTGTGATCACTGCGTGTTTGTTTGGAGAAAAGGCACCACCCACGTCATCGTGCCGGTCTATGTCGATGATCTGACGATCGTTGGCAGGACCAAGGCAGACAAGGACACCGTGAAGGCTGAACTTGCTCGCCGCTTCAAACTGCGTGATCTCGGGCCCATCTCCTTGCTGCTGGCCGTCGGTATCACTCGGGACCGTGCCAAGCGTCAGTTATCCATGGATCAGCGCCGTTACACTCAGGACATGCTTGATACCTTTGGAATGACGGACTGCTCGCCGGTGCTCACTCCTATGGACCCAAACACTCGCTTGTCGGCGTCCATGTCACCCCAGACTCCGGAGGAGAAGGCGGAGATGGTGGGAGTTCCCTACATCAACGCCGTGGGCGCCCTGCTCTACCTGGCCGTTGCCACTCGTCCAGACATCGCCCATGCGGTGGGAGTGCTGTCTTGGTTCTCCAAGAACCCGGGTCCGCGTCATTGGACCGCAGTTCCGCTACTTGAAGGGCACGCTCGACTACAAGCTGACCTTTGGGCCTGACGAGTCAGGAGAGCCGTTCACCTCCTTTGTGGACGCCGATCACGGTGGAAACCCTGACAACGGGCGGTCTACCTCCGGGTTTGTGCTCAAGATTGGCTCTGGAGCTGTCAGCTGGTCCAGCAAGCTCCAGACGACTGTTGCACTGTCTACAACGGAAGCCGAGTATGTGGCAGCCTGCTACGCCGGCAGAGAGGTCCTTTGGCTTCGCAACTTGCTCTCTGAGCTTGGATTCGATGCTACAGCCGCTCCCTCGAGACTCCGGATAGACAACCAGTCTGCCATCTCTGTGGCCAAGAACCCAGAGCACCATGGGAGCATGAAGGACCTTGATGTTATTGTCCGAGGGCGTCTAGCGGCTGGACAACACTCGAGAACGAGCTGGAGAGCACAGACAGTGAGCAGAATGAAGTAGATACATGGAGAGGGCTATCCTACCTGGAGAGCACAGACAGTGAGCAGAATGAAGTGCCCAACTCGTCTGTGGCTCTCCAGTAAAACTGTCAGCACAGCCTACAAGCTAAATCGGCCACAGCCACACAAATAAGCGCCAGAGAGCTGGCAAGTCACCACAGACAACACTCCCCCTGACGAGGCAACTCTCAAGCCAATCCCATCAAACTCCTGCAAACCTCCACCTTCGAGCGGTCCAGAGACTTGGTGAGCAAGTTGGCAGGCATCTCCGCCGTCGGGATACTTGCGGAGCCGGCAGACGACGCCGGGCTTACCCTGCTCAAAGCCGTCGGGCTGGTCCATGTAGACCTCCTCCACCAGATCACCATTGAGGAAGGCATTGGAGATGTCCACCAAGTCGGCCTCCCAGTCCTCGAGGGCGCAGATGGCCAGGATAGCGTGGAGAGCGGCCCGCTCCACCGAACCGTCGGCCTTGCGCTTGACCTTGAACACCCAACGGGAACCGATGGCCTTGCGTCCGGGAGGCAGCTGGACCAGCTCCCAAGTCCCATTGGCGATGTGGGCCTCGATCTCCTCCATGGCAGCCTTGTACCACAGATCCGAGTCAGGACACTTCATGGCCTTGCGGAAAGACCTAGGCTCGTTACCCCGCGCGTCGGCCTTCAGAGCGCAAGTCTGGAAGGCGGCCTCGAGGCTCCGAGGAAAGGAGAGGTGGTCTGGCGACGAAGGAGCGGTGTAGACGGTGTCGAGGCCAGCTAGCACCAGCTGGCATCTTTCGGCTCAGCAGCAGCCAGGGGATCCTCGGAGGAGGTGTCGTCCTCATCCTTGCCGCTCTCGATGGTGTTGTCTGTGGTGACTTGCCAGCTCTCTGGCGCTTATTTCGCATGACTGTGGCCACTTTAGGTTGTAGGCTGTGCTGACAGTTTTACTGGAGAGCCACAGACGAGTTGGGCACTTCATTCTGCTCACTGTCTATGCTCTCCAGGTAGGATAGCCCTCTCCATGTATTTACTTCATTCTGCTCACTGTCTGTACTCTCCAGCTCGCTCTCGAGTGCTATCCAGCTGCTAGACGCCGTCAGACAACAGATGGCTGGAGTGGGCTCCGGGTAGGCCTGAGGGACGGAGAGCGAGAGGGAACGATCCACCAAGGCTGCACGGGCTTGGGTGCACAGCGCTCGCATCTGAGGGCCAGAGGAGGAGGTGTAGGAGGGCGCTCCAGGTCCGGTGACGGCGCTGCAGAGCGAGGGACAGGCGATGGGGAGGCCTCAGGCGAGGCAGAACCAGTGGGAGGTGAGGGCGAAGCCTGAGGAGACGGCGGAGGCGTCTTGACTCTGGCAGGAGCGACAGGCTGGGCATCCTGAAGCGGCGGTGGTGCCATATCTCCCCCCGGAACTGGTGCAGGTGCGCCAGGAGGAGAGTGAGGAGCGCCGTGCGACGAAGTTAGGGCACGAAGGAGGAAGTCGGAGGCAGCAGAGTCCCAGCTGGCGGTAGAACGCACTCCGGGAAAGTACCGCTCGTGCGCGTAGCCGACGAATATGCACTTCTCAGAGTGGGAAGAGAGGCCGTGACGCTTGTCCTTCTGAATGTTAACGTAGGCAATGCACCTGAAGACCCGCAGGTGTTCCACAGAGGGCTTGATCCCGTACAGGGTGTTGCACACTTGGGTAGGGCAGCGGAGGGTGTCCTGTTGTGCACGTGGACATAGGCGGCAACAGCGAGGCTCCAGAACAATGGAGGCAGGGTGGACTCACTGGGGAGAGCCGTGGTGCCCTCGGCCAGAGTTCGGCGACACTGTTCTGGTGGGGCTCGTTGCGTATGCTGTGCCCTTTTCTTTCCGCAGTACGCCAGAACCGCTCACCAGAGACGAACTGGCGAGTCTAGCAGCGTAGGAGGCTGTCTGACGCGCTGTAGCGAGCTGGGAGCAAGGGAATGGAGCTGTGAGTCGAAGTCTGAGGACTCTGGGCTCCATCCCTGCTCCTTAAATACATCTAGCTATGATGGAAGCTATGGTAACAAGTAACAAAGGGAGATATCAAAGCCATGGAGATAGGGATCAAGCATGTGGAGATGGACAGTTGGAATCAGTGATCTGAGCAACCAACTGACTGTTGGACCGGTTGCATCAGTTGTGTAGTCAACCAAGTTGTGTAGTCAACCAACTGATGCCAACCGATACCAACTGATGTGAACAGATGGGAGACATGTAGCCAGGAGACCGGCATCAAAGGATGATCAGAGCAGCCAGAAAAGCAGTGACCGAGGGGAATGATGGATGGTAACCACCTAGACTGATCCATCACCATCCTCAACAGAGTCTACCATCACCGGTAACAAACGTCAATGAAGCATGGTTGTATCTTTCTAGCTCGGGACACGCAGTCGACACGGAGGGCCTGCTGAACATCAAACAACTGGTGCTGGCAATGTTGCAAGCTGCACAGGACAAGGAACGGAGGCTGGCAGGAAACCTACGCGCCTTTGCATTTATACTCGAGATGTACAGAGAAGGGACTGGAAGGGTAGCCGATAAGATGGAGGAGCGCATGGAGGAGATGGGCACTAGGCTGAAGGAGATGGGAGGACAGATAGCTGCACTGAACGAACAGACTAAGAGAGTCTAGGTGGTGACGGATAAGCTAGGGACAATCGAGGAGGATATGGCTGGCATGGTGGGAGCAAAAGTCAACGAAGTATGGGACGCAGCTCAGAGCACATTCAAAATCCTCCAACACGCTGTCGAACGGGGCTCTGTCAAAATGACGGGGAACACTGGGAACATAGAAGACTACAACTACGGGATTACGGACGAAGACTATGCACCGACAACTCCGGCAATAATACCAGCGAAACAACAGAAATCATATGCAAATGCAGCACATTCTGCCCCGATCTCGTACCAACGCATCATAGAACAGAACACGAAGAAGAACAAGCGCATCATCATAGATGCGAAGGGACCGGACTTAGAGACGCTTAGGCCCCAGTTGGGACACCGGCTTGGGTTGGGTTGGGTTGGGTTGAGGCCCGGGCCAGGTGACCCGTGTTACATGTCACATATTTGTCACAATCAGTCACGATTTGTCACATCAACCTTCGCTACAAATACAAGTTAATCAGACATTGGGGACGGCTCTTCCCTTCTCCCTCTGTCCTACATTATGTCCGAGGAGACCCCGTCACACCAGCACCTTGCCAACTCTATCTCAGAGCAGGAGAATGCGTCTCAACGACGCGCCAGGGTTCACAGTCATCGCAGGAGCGGCTATCGTCGCTCTTGAGGATACTCTTGTTGTCCAAGAGCAGCATACCTCTATCCTGACCAGCCATATGTATATGCAAGAGCTTCTATCTCCCGATGCGCACGAGGGTTCCTTCTACAACATTATGGGTGTCTCACACAAAGTTTTCTGGTGACTTCTTGTGGAGCTGCAATGTGTTGGGCTTCGTGATACACGTGGTGTCTCTGCTATGGAGAAGCTTGGGATGTTTCTCTATCAGATGCGCGGTGGTTCCAACAATCACTACATCATGGACCGGTTCCAACATAGTGAAAGCACTGTTAGCAGGCGAGTGTCCCTAAATTAATTTTACAGTTCCATATTGACGTGAGTCTATAGCTGCTTTCATCGGGTCCTCAATGTTATAGTATCACCCGAGTTCTATACTTGATACGTCTTTCCTCCATCTGACAGCACACCGCCTGAGATTGCTTCCAACCCCAAGTTCTCGCCATACTTCGATAACTGTCGTGCAGCCACCGATGGGACTCATATCGAGAGCTTTGTGGGAGCTGTGGATTCTGCCGCTTATTGCAATCGCAAGGGCTTTCTGTCACAGAATGTACTTGCGTGTGTCACTTTTGACATGTGCTTTACATACGTCTTAACAGGATGGGAGGGGAGCATTGCAGATGCGCGTCTCTGGGCTGAGGCAAGAGAAGATGGGATAGCCATCCCCCCTGGGAGTTACTATCTTGGTGATGCAGGCTTTCCATCATGCGGTGCTCTCTTGGTCCCATACCGTGGTGTCCGCTATCACTTGCGTGAATGTTGACAAGGGCCAGCAGGGTATGTACATACTTATATTTATCTTAACATAGCTTGCTCACTGTATACACAGTCCACAGACTGCGGAAGAGCTCTTCAATCTTCGCCATGCCCAACTGCACAATGTCATTGAGCGCATCTTTGGTGCCCTCAAACGCAAGTTTACACGCATCACACAAGCACCAGAGTACAGTGTTATCACACAGGCAAAGCTTGTGTCTGCAGCATGTGCGCTCTGGAATTTCAACCGGGTCCATGACCCTGAAGATGTGGAACGGTGCCTCGAGCGATCAATGAATGATTTGATCCAATCAGTTCCTGACACTCTTCAAGAGGAACATCTTGGACATGCAATCACACCACAGGAGAAGCAGAGAGCTGCAGAGAAGTGTGATACAATTGCAAAGGAGATGTGGAGAGACTACATCAATTTAATGGCAGAGAGGAATCAGTAGCATACTACATATCCTCTAACTCTGCCTCTAGGTATTCAGCCTGTAGATCTGGGTTTAAAGCAAGGAATGTGTCAGAGAAGTATGTGTTCTCTGGCCTCTGCATGTGACGGATGACCCGGATAGTACTGTGAGGTGAAAGGAGGTTTGCCTGCTGCAGTGCCTGCATAGCGGTTTGGCGACGAACAGGAGAGGGCTGCACTGCAATCGAAGGAGTGGCAGTTGAAGCTGATGAGGAAGAAGCTGCAGCTGATGACTCAGCTGTCCACGCATCTGTGAAGTCGCAGAACACCTTGGTGAACTCCTGGATGGCACCAGCAGCTTGACCCCGCGGTTTCTTCGCAGACTTGGGAAGTGACACTGAGCGCTGGCGGCAAAGGCTCTGTGATGAAGCCTGGCGTGAGAGAGGAGGAGGTTTGGGCAGCTAGAGCAATAGAACATCAATCAAGATGATCATCAGAATACTGAGCCCACATACCTCATCATCATCACTGGCAGACTTGTTGCCATCTTCCTTGTTGTCCAGCGCGTCCTGCGCACCCACACCAGCCTGAAGAGACTGAGTAGATGATGCTGGAGCTGCAGCATTGAACTGGTTGGCACCGGTCGCAAAATGGCCTGCCGCAAGCTCCGCAACTTTGTCAAAGTAGGGAAAGGCTTTCTTCTTCCATTTGCTCATGCTCGGATGTTTCTGAGTTGATCGGATATAAGCAAACATGATTGCAAAGATATAAACAGTGAAAGTGGATGCTTACAGCTAGATATGCCTCCCAGACTTCATCGGTAGCGACGACGACCAAGCGATCATCATCCCACCCAAAACCAGACAGATCCCTGAGCGTGCGGACCTCTTCATACTCCTTCTTAAGCTGCAGCAACTTGTCAGCATCCCTCTAATGATGATTAAGTACCAGATACATACTGTGCCCCAACAAGTCTGGCAAACAGAAGAGGACTTGACAGCTCCAGAGTCAGTCTTCTCTGAGTCTGCAAGAGCAGCAGCAGCAGCAGTCCATGCCCCAGGCTTCCAGCCATTATCTGAAGCAAGACCAGCAGTCTTTGAAGCCTTGAGTGAGTCAAGCAGTGCCCAGGTAGACTTATCAGACCACTGAGCCTTAGGAGCCATGACTAGGAGCAGGAGAGAGAGGCTACAGTCTATTATCCGTGATATCTATGATAACCGCTGCTCGACGGCGTGACTCCAAGCTCCTCGGCCTTGCCCAGCGTGATTCCCACGCCCGTGCCACCTCAATTCCCACGCTTTTTGGCAGGGGCAACCCAACCCACCTCAACCCCGTGTCCCGATCTGGGCCTTACTGAGTAGCAGTTAGTTGCGAAGGCGAACATGGCAGTAGAAATGGCCGGTGGTGAGGACGAGGGGAAACCAGGGGACGTCTACTTCGTGAGCGTGAAGAGGTTGCGGAATGGAGGAATGGAGTTTGAATTGAACTTGACTGCTGCGGCGGCATGGGCGACACGGGACGCTATAAAGAAAAAGATCATCAGCAACTTTGGATACGAGGCGGAGATCAAGGACAAGGGATTCGCAGTACTCATTGAGAACATGCCACTATACTTCCACCCGGAAGAAGAAGATCAAATGACGGTGGCGAAGATCAATGGATGGGACAACCACGACTTCCTGCGGGCAAGATGGATCAAAGCGCTAAAGAGGAGGAGACCCGGCCAGACCAGCGCGCACGTAACAGCCACTCTCTGGATGGAAAAGATCACCAATGACGCGATTAGATGGGGGATAACAATCCGAGGTAAGAGCTGCAATGTACGGAGACTGACGAAGGAAGCCACTAGGTGCAATAGATGTCAAAGGTTTGGGTGCCACTACGCAGCACAATGCTGAGAAATCCACAACACTTGCGGAACGTGCGGCAGCATCTCGCACGCAACCGCCAAATGTGAGTACAAAGATAAGCACTAGAAACATTACTGCGTAAATTGTAGGCAGGCGGGACACGCCACTTGGAGCCGCGACTGCCCGACCCTGAAGGAGAAGAATTGTGAGGTCAACGAACAATTCCCGGAAAACGCATGCAAGTACTTCGTGACGGACGACCCCAACACCTGGGAACAAACACGGCAACAGAACAAGAACGACTGGACCACTGTACCAGTAAGGAAGGGTTTCTAACAACCTCCTGCCGACCATGGATGAGGTACCCGCTACGGCTGGTTTGGAGCCCCTTTAGACAAGATCCTGGACGATACGCAGACCAACCTGCAGGCAACTCAATTTGAGACCCAGACAACACTCAACAACTACGGATTCGGTCGCCAAACAACAGGAGAGCTACGCGAGGACCCAATCATTGCTTCAGGATGGGATACGACTCTATGAATGCCAATAACCATGGAGGGCGGACCACAAGCATTGAAGAGCTGAGTTTTTGCTCGCAGAATCTATGTCGCTCGAATGACGCTCAGCAGGACTGGCTCATAATGCTAGGAAGGCAGAAACACATGATCGGACTCGCACAGGAACTGTACATCGATACTCGAGGCAACTCACGAGCAAACCACACCTGGAATTCAATATATCCCTCGACGCACCAGAAACGACCACAGGATACCCGGGCCTTCATGGTTGTTAGCACGAGCGTATCGCCAGACGCATGGACCCAATCGCTGGACATTACAGCCATCAAGATATCTGATAGACACGGTGACCTCTTTATCTTTAATGTTTACCTCGATCAGACTCACTCAGATGCTCTCTTTGAATTAGGACGCAAGACAAAAGAAGCACAACGAGAGGGGATCCAGAAAAGACAGCCCACCCACTTCATATGGGCGGGAGATTTCAACCAACATTCACCACTCTGGGATGAAGAACAAAATCACCACCTCTTCATGAGGCGCAACATCACGATGGCGCAAACCCTCATCAACATGGTGGTGACTTAGGATCTCAAAATGGCTCTCCCGCACAGCACTTCAACACTGGAGGCAACAACGACAGGTAACCATACACGGCCGGATAACATTTTCATTTCAGACAGCATCATGGATTGACTCGTGGCGTGTACGACAAAACCGGAGAGACGCCCGCCGAAGACGGATCACTTCCCAATTGTGTGCCGACTCAAACTCTCGCTGGAATACAAAGAACCAGTATGCCACCTCAACTGGTCAAAGACTGATTGGACGGAGTATAGAGACATGCTCTGCGAGAAACTGGAGAACATACCGCACCCAGAAGACATACGATCCAGAGAAGAATTCGACGAACTCTTGGACACCCTCAACCGCACGATACAGGACACAACGGACAAACACGTCGACAGACAGAAGCCCACACCGTACACCAAGCGCTGGTGGACGAAGGACCTGAAGGCGCTAAGGAAGATGGCACAACACCTCGGCAAGAAGTCATACGACAAGCGCAACAACAGGGGACATCCCGTCCACGAGGAGTTTCGGAGAGCAAGAAATTGGTACACAAATAGCATCAAGCTTGCGAAAGACCAATGTTGGGCAAAGTGGCTAGACGTGGTGAGAGACGACAACATGTGGAAGACTAGTGCATACATCAGCAGCCCCTCCACAGATGCCTCCAGGGCACGAGTTCCAGAACTCATCACGAAGAGAGAGAATGGCAAAGAGATCAAAGCGACCACAAACACAGAGAAGACCGCTCTCTTCAAACGGGAATTCTTTCCGATAGCTCTGGACCACATACAGATCAACGGCAAGGACCACGAGGATGAATATCCAAGACCAGCATTCGAGTTCACACCTATTACGGACGAAAGAATCAGGAGCACCATAGCGAAGCTGCAGCCACACAAGGCCCCCGACACTGACAAGTTCTCTAACGCTATCCTCATAAACTGCGCTGACGCCCTCATACCTAGACTAGGACCACTCTTCAGAGCGGTACACACGCTGAAATACTGGCCAGAACAATGGAAGTTTATTGTGATCATAGTACTTTGAAAACTGGGGAAAGGAGATTACACCAAGCCCGGAAGCCATCGCCCTATATCACTACTCATCAAGAAGATCGCGATGCTGTTCTCGAAATGCCTCTCAGACAAGCTACTTTACCAGACGGAGAAGCACCACCTCCTAGCGCCCACCCAATTCGGCTTCAGACCTGGACGAGCAACTACGGACATGATCCATTACGGGATTGCGAAGATCAAGGACACATGGCATAAAGGGAAGTGCTGCGCTTTACTACTTCTAGATATCAAAGCCGTGTTCCCTCACATCGTGGTCAGTGTGCTAGTCTACGAGATGCGCATGAAAGGTGTACCCAAAGAATACACTGACTGGATCCAATGGTGCTTCAAGGGACGGAAGACCAGACTAGCGTTTGACGACTATCAATCCGAAGAAATTACGATCGAAGATGGTCTAGATCAAGGAGACTCATTCTCAACGACAGGAATGATCTTCTACATCGACGATCTGCTCTGCGACTCACCGGACAGAGAAGACGGGGAAGAGGCGATAGGCTTCGCGGATGATGTCGGCCTCTTGACAATCGGAGGCGACCTGGAGGAAGCGGCAGGAAAGGCGGAAAGCTGCATGGTACAAGAGGGCGGGGCGATGGATTGGAGCATCCGGACAAACTGCATATTTGGTTTGGACAAGACGCAATGCCTCGGACTCACCAGGAGGCGCAAACCCGACAAACAAAGAACTGGCAGGACAAAACCGATACCGAGGCCCAAGCTCCAACCTCAATGGCATAGAAGTTGAAATGGCACAATCAGCTAAGTGGCTAGGCATTATAATTGATCAGGAGCTACGCTTTCACGAACACGCAGCATACGCCCTCAAGAAAGGAACCGACTACATGCAACATTTCAGGCGGCTAGCTCGGAACGCGACAGGAATTCGACACCGCTTCCTTTGACAGTACTACACTTCTATTGCCATGTCAAGGATGCTCTACGGCGCTGATGTCTTGATCAAGCCCCGAAGATATTGAAACACTTGACACAACACTTTCTTGGCAAGATGGTCACAGTCCAGAGACAGGCAGCATTACACACAACACAAGCATTGAGGACGACACCCACCGATGTCGTCAACGCGCACGCAGGGCTCCTGCCATTTGATATCGCAATCCACCAACAATTACAGAGATGCACGCTAAGGATTGCAACCCTCCCGGACACGAATCCCCTGGCAGGGGTGGCGAAAAAGGCAGCAGGAAGGTACGTAACAAGACACCGTGGCCCTCTTCACGAACTCTTCCAAGCATACGGCATCAAAATGAGCATCTGAAAAAATCTAGATCACTATATGGCACTACATAGTGCCATATAGCCTCCATAGGTCCATAGCGATGTCCTTTGCTACCCATGCTAGAAATCTGCCAGCCAATGCTATCATAGTGCTATAGGTGCTATAGAGGGTACTGTCCTAGCTACAGTAGCTATGTAGGGCACACCTTAGTGCTATATAGCTCACACACTAGTGACTGAAACTATATATCCTATGTCAACTCTACAGCAATCATATGCTCAATAGATATTGTAGCCACCCAAATAAATAAATAAATAAATAAATTATATATCACTCATAATCAATCAAAATCCTGGTACAAAAAAGTATTGTCTTCCATCATATTCTATTTAAGTTACAAAAGTGTATCAAGTACTACGAAGTAATTACATAATCAATACAGACAAGCTGCAGATACAGCAAAACTGTCAATTTCACTACTGGGGGACCGAGCTGGGCCCGTCAAGTCAGCTAGTGCTCAGCGTTGGGCGCAGGGAGGAGCCGAAGCCGAAGCGCGGGGGCGGGGAGGAGAAGCGACGCCGAGCGAGACTGCGTTGGTGGCTCAGGCTCGGCGTTGGGAGAAGAGTGGGGGCAAGGGCAAGGATGAGGGCGACACCGAGCGCGACCACGTTGGCGGCTTGTACTCGGGGCTGGTCGCAGAGGGGTGCGAGTGCGACCGCGTTGGCAGCTCACGCTCGGGGCTGGGCGGTGTGTGGGGGCGAGAAGGGTGGCGAGGCCAAACGCGACCGCGTTTGCGGCTCGCAGAGCCAGGGGTTAGCACGTTGGCGCAGAAGACGTCGAGCGTATTGGCACCATGGAGGTGGGCGCATTGAAGCAGTGGAGATGCCGAGCGCAACTGCATCGGGGCTGGGCGACAGGTGAGAGGGGGAGGAAGCTGCGCGGAGTGCGACCGCATTGGTGGCTCGTGCTCGGGGCTGGGCAAAGGTAGGCATGTGGGAGGTAGGCAAGGCCAAGCATGACTGCATTGGCGGCTCGCACTCGGGGCCAGGCAAAGAGCAGGGGCGAGGAGGAGAAGCGACACTGAGCGAGACCGTGTTGGCGGCTCGGGCTCGGCGTTGGGCGAAGAGCGGGGGCGAGGATGAGGACGGGGGCAACACTGAGCGCGACCACGTTGGCAGCTCGTACTCGGCATCGGGCAAAGGGGGTAGGAGGCGACGCCGAGCGCAACCATGTTGGGGGCTCACGCTCGGTGCTGGGCGGTCTGCGGGGGTGAGAAGGGAGGCGACGCCGAGCGTGACCACGTTGGCGGCTCACGCTCGACGCTGGGCAAAGGGGGTGAAGTGGGAGGGGGCGGGGTGAGTGTTCGAGGCCGCCAGTGGCTAAGATGACAAACCGGAGGAGACTCAGGCTGTCACATGACGTGTGATTTCGCGTTGAATCTCTAAGTCCACGTTGGCCACTGTGTCTCATATAGTCCACAAGCTCCTTGATACTTAGCAACCTTGTACATAGTTTATTCATGCATATATCTGACAATGTATAGGCTAACATTACAGTTCAAGACCTGAGACTGACTTAGATCATGGAAGGTACAAGTTGGGAGCCCTGCTATCACCACTATACAGATACATACCAAATCTATGGGTGCACTTCTGAGCTATATATCACTATGTAGCTAGTACTTTGAACTATATTACCTATAGTTACTATATAGCACTATATAGCGACTGAGCTACTTCTACATAGCAACCATAGCACTATATAGCAACTGGGCAACTTCTATATAGCAGCCATAGCACTACAATAGTGTCCATAGTTCTGAGGGGCAGCTATATAGATCAAGATTTTTTCAGATGCAGTCGTCAAGATTGGATCTGGAGAGGGTTATGGAGGGTGCGAGCCCGATGTCCCTTTGCCCGAAGGGAGATGTTCATCTCTCGACGGTGTGCCCATGTCGGATGACATGGAGACCGGTTCTGCCGGGTTAACTGATGGCCTCACCAAGACCAAAGCTATTTTGGGTTTCATTGCCATCGATCCGCTGACCACAAAGGATGGACTGACCAGCGGGTGGACTGACAATAATGATCGTAGTCTGTAGACCACTGTAGTAGGCAAGGGCCGTAGCCCGTTGCCTGGGTCTGATAAATGTTTTACGTTAGCTAGTAATAACATGTTCAATGCTATTGCTAAGAGTGAGGATGACGATGGAGATGACGGGGACTATAGTACCCTGATCACTGCAGCTTCTAGGGCGCCTAAGAAGAAGTCGCGAGTTAATAAGTCTCTTGTCCCTGGTGTAATCGATGCTGGGGTACCTAGCCTGTCGTGACTTACTGTCAGGATGCATACACCTAGTCCCGAGTTGTCAGAAATACCATGCCAAGGACATAGCTGAACTTGTATTTGACGAGGTATACCGGCTGCACGGGCTTCCAAAACAGATAATCTCTAATCGAGATATATTATTCACAAGTAACTTCTGGCAACATTTGAATAAGCTATTGGGGATAAAGCTCAATATGTCAAGTGCTTACCACCCAAAGTCGGACGGATCCACTGAGCGGGCTGGTAGAACGGTGTCGCAAATGATCAGATCTTGTGTACGGTCGGACCAGAAGGATGGGGTAGCGGAGTTGCCTGGAATCGAGTTCACGATCAATGTGGCACAGTATGAGAGTACAGGATTTGCAGATTTCTTCCTGAATATGGGCCGGATGCACGATCTATGATCTGGGATCCACCCAATCAGGAGGAGTATCTGGGAGTATGTGCCTTTACGCAAAAGATGAGAAACACTGTAATGTCCACGCATGATTCAATCCTGGAGGCATGGGTAAAGCAAACCCAGGCTGCAAATCGATTATGGGGAAGCTCATCACGAAGTACATCGGACCCTACGTGATACTCATGGATTATCGAAATAACTCGTATAAAGTGGACTTACCGGCTCGGCTCCTGCAACACGGCATTCACCCAATGTTCCATGTGTCGTTACTTTGAGTGCATGTGCCTAATGATGACAGGCTCTTCCCAGGGCGTCGAGAAATGCAGATCACAGATTTTGGTAAAGAAGCACAGGAGTGGGCAATCGATGAGATCTTGTCCCACAAGGGGTGGGGACGCCAAGCCGTGTTCGAAGTGCGATGGAAGGCTGGTGATATCACGTGGCTACCCCTGGATTTCCTTGATGGCAAGGAACATCTTAAACTTTATCTGGATGCTTTGGGGGCTGACAGCGTGGCTGACCTACCGGAAGGCAAGGGAGAACCACCTTCCAATGATCCTCAAGTTTATGCTGGGGCCATGTCGTTCGTTGGGACCTGGAATAGATATATATACAGTATCCGTTGCGGAAGCCTGCACTAAAGACCGCTATTGCCTACCAAAAGCTTCAGCAGTTCCCTCTGTGACAGTCTCTCTGAATCCATAAACACCGACGATCACCTACTCTGATGTCCGAACCCGCTAGCATCGCCAAAATGCCCCACATCACCAAAGCCAATCTCATCGATAACCCTGGCGTGTTCCTGCTTCCATACATCTACTTGAGGGATGACGAATGCATTTTTGTGGATAACGGGCGCATCAGCGCCGTAGCCACCTATCAAGAAGTTATGGAGTACGCACAGTGGGACACGATGATTTGTCGACAGGTCGTTGGACCGAAGGCTTGGGTCCCGAGTGGATACAACAATTTCATGATCATGTTCTCGACTGTGGTACCTGACACCATCTGTGTGTTTGCGGTCTTCACTGATATTGAAGGGCCTGCGGTTATCCCGGCTGAGCCTGCGCCGCTCAAGGTTATCACTGCTTCCTATGATCAATTAGTGGATGAGGGAGAGATATCCCGTTGTCCTCCCCTCACTGTACCCCCGTCGACTCAAGGATGATTGCCTCGCTGGGAAACATCTTCTGCTACCCCTTCCTGTGCATCTTCTATCGCACCTAGTCGTTGCGCTACGTCTGAAGCCTCGTACCATGCTTCGCCATACGATCGTTCAAAGCCGACTGGGTACATGCGTGGGTTGCCATCCAGACCATCGGTTCAGGAGACACCAGAGGAGCGGATCGCTCGCTTGAATCAGGAGGCCGTCTATCTCATTGTGGAGAAGCACGCTGTCCTGCCCCTAAAGTGACTAGGTATAAGATGCATAGAATGCATGCGATTGACATGAATGCGGTCCATAGGTAGCCACTCACAATTACTATAGAGTACAACTTGCGTGACTACAATCATGGTAGCCGATCCTTGGTTATGCTAGTTTCTTTCCCAGTACTCAGAAACGACTCACATTAGTATTTAAATATTTTCTGGTAGTGTAATAGTTTTACTTATGTACACATTTGACTGTTCACTACACTATCATGGTCCACATATCATGGATCAGATGGTCACCTTCAGAAAAGGGGAATATGTGGGTACTCAGACATGTCGCTATGGTAACACAGGGCTGCTGTGCAAGGCTGTGCATATTAGTAAGCAGACTGCGGCGCAGCAGGTGCTTGGTAAGCCTGTGATTTGATTGGATGGAGTGGTAATGGCCAAATTAGCATAAAAGGAGGACACATGAGCCCTTTGAGGTAATCAATTCACTTTCACCCAGAATCGACAATCGATCGGTCTCTATTAGTATTAAGCAGCAAGAGCAAGATTAGGAAGACATTTGGTGTTGACTTAGGCAATAGATCTAAGTATCACTCCAGGACATATGATATAGGCAATAGGATACGTATAGGAAATAGGATATGTTGAAGCGACAAGGCGCTTCCAGAAGATAGAGCGACAAGACACTCCCAGAAGACCGACAACATATTCAGTGACTTCCTCATAAGTGTGGGAACAGATTTCCAGTGCAGACAAAAGGACAGAGCTTAGGTCTCTGTTTACGTGAATACATTCAAGTGGCCCATTTCTTTCTCCTGATTCAACTAGGTCATCCCTGACTTAGATAGACCAGGACCCTAGGCAACTGTGTGACTATATACTAGCACTACAGTTCGTGCAACATTATTGGTGACCACCGCAGGGGGTTTATAACAACCTTTCAGAAGATAAACCGGAATCTCCAACAAGTTCAATCATCACAGTCAACTCAGATGTGATAGATACTATTGATTGGGATATATTAGAAGACAACACCACAATTTCAGCAAGACAGAACATTACGACGACAATAGCAAGCAATATGGTAGAACTTAGGAACATCAGTGATATGCCTCCCAAGCATAGCAAGCAAGCTCCCGGAACTTTTAAGGGAGACTATACTGCTATTCAGGAGTTTCTGGATGAGTATGAGAGGCTGTGCAAGAAGAACAACATGATGGATGATGCAGAGAAAGTACAGACTATAAGGGGGTACTGCTCAAGAAGTGTGTGGGAAGTAATGGAGGGAATGGAGAATTACCTTGTCCCTGACTTGGAGGAGTTCAAGAAGGAGGCATTGCGAAAGTGGAATGATGACAAGAACAATCTCAAATTTGTTGAGAAGGACCTTGAAGATCTGGTAGACATACAGAGGAAAAAGTCTATACACAACATCAACGTATGAACATCAGTTCACTCGCGTAGGAGGATGGCTCTATAGAAAAGAGCGAATCACCAAATTCCAATGGGACAAGTATTTCTGGCGAGGGCTGAATAAGTGGTTTAGAGTAAAATTAGAGAAGAAACTACATGAACCCTATCCCAATGCCATCGACGTATCAGTACCTTTCCCTAAGGATAAGGTGATTGCAGCGGCGGAAGCTCTATATCCTAGAAATAGGTTTGATGCAGACGAATCAGACAAGAAGATATTAAAGAGAAAGAATAGGGTGGCGAGGACCAGCCAACTTAGCAATAGTTCTGACTCAGAGCTAAGTGACTTGGACGATTCAGACTCAGACGTTGACAGCGATCACAAATATAAGTGGCACAACAAGAAGAGTGGGAAAAAGAAAAATAGGACAGATAGCAAGAAGCCAGTAGAAGCAAAGTTAGAAGAAGACAAAGCTTGGAAGCAAGCAGAGGTAGAAAAGCTTATCAAACAGATGAGCACTATGTCTATCCACGACCCCGCGTACAGTGTATTATATTTCCGGGCTAAAAAGATGGACGAAGCAGTAGTAGGGGTCGTAGGTGCATCAGCTGCTGTAGCACCAGCATCTCATCTGATACAAGAGATGAATAGCATGCACGCTCAACGCCCAATGATAAATGGGCCACCTTTACAATGGAATGACCGACCCTCATTCAACTCGCCTGCCACATGGCCAAATAATATAGACTCTAGGGGAAATAGTTGGCTCATGTGCTATGGGTGCAGAGAGCCTGGACATCGACTGAACTTCTGTCCCAAGGTACAGCAGTACATTGACAGGGAGTTGTCAAGTTTCAAGATGGACATATAGTGCAAAGTGATGGATCACCTATCATGTGGGGTTTCCAAGAACCAATAGTGAGAGCATTGGAGAGAACCTTCCCTCAAACAAACCTGGTAACTATACCATATGAGGCAGACTTCTTAGAGCCAGAAATTACAGATGCTGAATCGGAGCCAGAGACAGAAGATGATGAAGATTATGAAGCAGCAGTATATATGGCTCGCAAAGGACTGCAAAGTGGAGACAGAAGCCTGAGAAGTTCCAGGAAGGAGGTCAAGCCATATAATGCTGACAACAGCCAATGATCATCACTAAAATCATGGGTTGGAAAGGAACCACAAAGCGACAACCAAATGCCTATGGAAGGGCCATCCAAGTTAGCACAATTTGAGATGCATCCAGTAGATGTATTCCAGAGAACATTCCAACCAGGTGACCAAGACACAGTCATGGAAGACATATCAGCTCCGCCAGTGCAACCGCTACATGTGATTACAGACAAATCACCAGCGGACAAGCAACCGGTAATGCCCACAGGAATCAAGTCAAGTCCAATGGCATCTATCAACATGCGAGAGGTTGACAAGAACCTAGTATATCAAAAGCTACAGAACACGACTATCGAGCTTACTCATAAGGAGATCTGCACGATTGCTCCAGATATAGCTAAGCGAGTGTTAGCTGATAACAAGTTACAGTGGGCACCCAGCGAAGAAGGAATACAACCCACAGTGGCTTGCATAGTGGGATCAGAGTCCGCGCAGACGAGAATGCCAATGAGGATGAGCGACATATGAGAAGGGCTTATTCAACTAGATATGGAGATCAACGGGATAACTGTTCAAGCAATTATTGATACTGGATCACAACTTAACGTTGTGCATGAGTCAGTGTACAACCAAGTTATATGGCTCCCTCTGGATAAGTCTCAAAAGATGCCGATGAAAGACGTAAATGGCGGGGTGGGAGAGCTGGTTGGATTAGTACCCAGTGTAAATATTGATTATGGAGCAGCACACACAAAAGCACACCTATGGGTATTGAAGACAATAGATTTCCCCTTGCTCCTTGGACGTCCCTGGCAGAAAAAGAACAAGATCAACATTGAAGAAAGGGATAATGAAGAGACGTACATTGTATTTAAATACCCACACCTTGGAACTGAGCTGGAGGTGCGAGTCTCACCTGAATCTGAAGACCCGGCCTGAGTTATGCTGGCCCAAATCGGAGATACCGGCTCCCGAGCGAGCCGGAGTGAGACACGTGAGTCTGGGTGTTCCCGGTGGTGTGGAAGTACTCACGTGCCATGTGTGTTGAGCGCTCGCATGATGCAACCTTTGCTTATGTCAGCGCCAGCCACAGAGAGCGAGGCGTACGAGCGCGCAACTGTGCCCTCTGCTTGGTCCCACATCGCCGCTGCTGACACCGCCGTCGCCGCCGCTTTTGACTACCAACTAGTCAATCACCAACACAACACTGACTACAATACAACTCTGAGCATGCCTGATACAGCCAAACGCGAGGCATTCAAGCACGCAATCGCACGCGCAGTTGGCCCACTACCGTCAATGACTATTGCTGCCGCAAATGGCTATTGGCCCCTCATCTGCCGGCGGAGCCTCGATCCTGACAATGTCGAAGAAGTTCCAGAGACCCCCAATACAATGGAACATGAAGCACCCAGGCACACAATAGTGCACGCCGTTGATGAATACAGCACTCTCAATGCCCACCACTTCAAGTATATATGCATGGTGCTCACCGTCTATGCATGGTGAGCACCCTTTTAACCACATACTACTGAACTTTCGAGACAGAGACGATGCCCGACTGTACGCGCTGTCGCGCGAACTGTAGTGCTAGTATATAGTCACACAGTTGCCTAGGGTCCTGGTCTATCTAAGTCAGGGATGACCTAGTTGAATCAGGAGAAAGAAATGGGCCGGTTGAATGTATTCACGTAAACAGAGACCTAAGCTCTGTCCTTTTGTCTGCACTGGAAACCTGTTCCCACGCTTATGGGGAAGTTACTGAATATGTTGTCGGTCTTCTGGGAGCGTCCAGTTGCTCTATCGTCTGGAAGCATCTTGTCGCTTCAACGTATCCTAATTCCTATGTTGTATGTCCTGGAGTGATACTTAGATCTACTGCCTAAGTCAACACTCAAAAGTGTCTTGTCGCTTTAACATATCCTATTTCCTATATTGTATGTCCTGGAGTGATACTTAGATCTATTGCCTAAGTCAACACTCAAATATCTTCTTAATCTTGCTCTTGCTGCTTAATACTGATAGAGACTGATCTGCGGTCTCCTGTGATCAATCATCGATTCTGGGTGAAACTGAATTGATTGCCTCGAAGGGCTCATGTGCCCTCCTTTTATGCTAATTTGGCCATTACCACTCCATCCAATCAGATCACAGGCTTACTAAGCGCCTGCTGCGCCGCAGCATGCTTACCAATATCCACAGTAAGCTTACTAATCTGCACAGCCTTGCAGCACAGCCCTGCGTTACCATAGCAACATGTCTGAGTACCCACATATTCCCCTTTTCTGAAATGCATCTAGACTACTCTGACCATCTGATCCATGATATGTGATCATGATAGTGTAGTGAACAGTCAAATGTGTACATAAATAAAACTATTATACTACCCAAAAAATATTTAAATACTAATATGAGTTGTTTCTGAGTACTGGGAAAGAAACCAGCATAACTAAGGATCGGCTACTATGATTGTAGTCATGCAAGTTGTACTCTATAGTAATTGTGAGTGGCTACCTATAGACTACATTCATGTTTGCCGCATGCATTCTACGCGTCTCACACCTAATCACTTTAGGGGTGGGACAGCGCGCCCAATGGGAACCAGTATATGGTACCACTTGGAGGCTTCGATAGGCGACAGTACAGCCAATCAAGCACGATCGGTGGAGGACATAGTAAGTTGGTTCAATACCACCTTTATTCTATCGACTAACAAGAGGCGTCAAGTGATGATCGGGTTAGGCCCGATTGAACTCGATGATGGCTTTCCGGATACATCCACTGGACCCCCCACCCCCTTGCCAGGACAACATCACCTCAATTTGCAGCTAGAAGGCAAAGCTGGCGATACATCCACCTCAGAAGACAAGGCATCATACCAAGCACGAGTCGCAAACAAGATAGGCAACACCGGACTTGAGGTCACCATCGCACCGACCTCCTCGCCGCCGTCACTGCTATCAGAAGCCTGTCCAACATCAGACAATCAAGACCACGTAGCTGGGCGTCATAGCAAAACACTAGAAGATTCGGCAGCACATGATTGACAAGACGATATGGGAATTGGCCTAACTACGAGACACAGAGGTGCAGTAATTCCTTGGTCACCGAGTCAGTCTCTTATCATGTCATCACAGGATACCAGAGGTGCAGAGCAGACATCCGGAGAGCAAACTGTTGCAGCAGGAGACGATGCACTTGCCTCATGAACTTCATTGACTACGATAACGACCAAGCGCATCTCCACTCAAAGTTCCAAGCCCTACACCCAAACAACCACTGGAATGCGAGATGCGGGAGCTGCTGTAAGCCATCCGGAACTAGTTTCGCAAAATTCTGATCTACAGGTGTCGCCAGGGCAACACCACATCATCGAGGACCGGAATTGTTCGCCATCCAACCACTCCCATACCTGGGAAGCACCGGCTTGTCAGGAAAGCTCTGGGAGATCAAACGACCAACCGTTGTGCCCACTGACAGATACTAGGCTGGGTGCATCGACTCTATCACTTCCGGATTGGCCACATGACGAACGAGGATCGGTACTCCACAATATTGTTGTCAGCTTTCTCAATATTGAATGGCCCCACATCTGGACACGGCACTGATCTGACTTGCCTGGATGGCAAGAGATGTGAAATCTTCTCATGACGGTCACACTGACAGCACCGACATTTGAGGTAAGCCATGTGTTTGGGATGTTTGAAGCCCCGATTGAGATTCATGAGAATCTACAGGCACGTATACATATTGCAATATTGTTAGCTGAAGAAGACAACTCAGACTCAGAGCTGAGTGTTGAACTCGTGGACTCGGATATGCAGAACAGTGACACACTTTCTAGTAAGAACCCGGAAGGACTGCCAAACGGGTCAGAAACCCAGTCAAGCACGACTATTGAACCTAGGGAAGCCGAAGAGAACGTCACCTACGCTAGAGGGACTTGGGAGGCTTCACTGCCCAAATACAATGGTGACATCTATGGTGAGGGAGTACCCCATGTACTTGGGCTTTGGATTGATGACCAGGTGCAACAGGATTGTGCAATGACACCCATGATATTCGGCAACAATACACATATGGTGACTATCGCAAAACTACCGTGCAAGTACAGCGTCTGGGCGGAGGGTCCAGCGCATCCCCTTGTGCCCATGACACTCATTGGATGAAAGGGTATCTGATTATTGGAGAACGAGAAGAGAGTACTCGTCAACGAACATCTCGCTGTAATGTATATAAGGGGTACTATTGACCTCGACTCGTCAGTAACTATCTATCTGCGAATCTCTCGAGCTCAAGTCCAACCTCCACCCTACAACAACTCTCTGATTTCTTTGCACAACATGTCTGACAACTACGACGCTGCCCCGCGCCTGATCATCTTTGGGGAGGGCTTGCCCCTGCTGTTTAACTTTGATTTCTGCCTCAACGATGAAGTTGCTGCTGTGTGGCATGCTACGCCCAATGTGCCACCAGGTCTTGCATCTTGCAATGCAGACATTCTGGGGCTCGTCCACCAACACTGTACGAGGTCGGTTTCCATATCAATGAGCTGGCTCAGATGCCAGCGCCAAACTCGTGGCCTGTATTTCTCTGAGAGGCTCTCGAGTACAAACTGCCGTGGTATCATAACAGCAGCTATCTCATCCCTCACGGCGAGGATCCGCAGAGTTCCAACCATATCAAGGTTCCTATCTGTGCCACACTACCCACATATGATGCATGACTTGGCTTATGCCGATCCGACCATATTCTGATCTTTGTCTGCACCGCCCATGCCGGACAGCGCCGCCCGCTCCCATACTTATACAATTGAACTCACGTCTACCCGGCCACCCATGCATCCTCACGACTTTATTACCATCTCTCATTCTCCCCTCCCATCGCCTCCACTCCTGCCTGAGGGAGCTCCAGCCATGCATAGCAAAGATACACTGCCGAGAGTCTACATCTCAGGCGGTCTCTGGACCTATATACTGGAAGAGCTCGAGAGACAGGGCCGCCACTACATTCCTCTTGAACACAAAGCCAAAGTCCAGGTTACAGGCCTGGTGAACACCACTATGCTGTCTTCTCGCAATGGCACAGGCGAGCAGCTCCTGTGCGTATACTGCATGCTCAATATACTCAATACTCACGTGAATGACAATGATAGGCCCACCATTTGACTGGCATCGGCTCTGCTCTTCCTACCGTCACCACCTGGCACCTATGACTCGGACAGTGACTGTCACGAGTCAATGGTCATGTCAGATTCATCTTCCAACTCCGATGTATCTGCAGAAGGGGCACACGCTGACATTCAACAAGACTTGGTCTACCTGAAGCAGGTCAGAGATTTCACGGCCCACTCCGTTTGCCAATTTCATGTCACCAATACCAAGATGTACCAGCTCGTGCGGAGCTGACTTGAAGAGCTGGATGAGGCCATGTTGAGACTTGTCGAGCAGGTAGGGGTCCATATGACCAAAACCTCTGAACTAACACACGGCACATTCCACTGTTTGCGCAATATCAAAGATGGGGTTGTCAGTGCACATGGGGATGCACACACTGCCTGTGACATCTTCAAATCTTGGACTCGGGATGAATTGTATGACAGTAAGACTCTGTCATTGACTTCTCTTGATTTGGGACTTACACCTGGATTGCAGGAGATAATGTCGTCGACATCGCAGTTGAAGAACGCAAAGCTCTCGAAGAATGGCTCGGAAACCGTAGCGAAGAATGAAGGACTCCTACCGCTAGTCCTTGGAGGTATGCAGTATTGTAAGATAGTTGACAATTATCGGGCTCGTGTCATTGACAAGTATATAACTCAGTCTGAAGTAAGTAGTTCCGTAGTATACTGAAATCCTGTAGCCTGTGAATCATGTACCTCTTGTGAATACAAACTTGTGATATCTAATGACTTAAGTTCTTCAGGCTTGAGTATTAACACAAGGATGCGAGAGGTGCAGCCGATCCAAAGACTTAGGATAAGTAACAAACTCGGGACTACATCTTCTAAAGGACTTGTGACAATGCACGAGTGGACATCAGCTCGAGAAGTGCCACCCACCACCCCTACATGTCCAGACATAAGCACTTTGGTACCAGATGATACTTCATCAAGACACAGCTGTGCAGTCGAAGCCGGCAACTCCAAAGACAAAGACAAGTGGATGGCTGCAGTATGGGTCGGAGACCCATCTCAAGTAGACTTTACAGAATGGGATGGTGGCAGCGTTCCCACATTCAGCCTTTTGGACTCAGACCAGGCACAGCCAAGTTATGTTAATAACATCCAATTAGTGTCAATTCCAGAGAACAACCTGTCGGATCATAACTACGTCCCGCAACAAATAAGCGAAAATTGGACACACCCTGCGGCTGTGTTCAGAGCTTACAAATGGGTTGACTGCAAAGTAAAGCCAGTGCCTGGCATCTATCCAGAAGATGCAAAAGTTATTTGACAATTTCCACAAGACCCGCTACTTAACCTCATAAAGTTACCAACTAATCCACCGGACTTCACACCCATGACCCGGATCACTGAAGAACACATGAAAGGCATGGAAGTAAACTCAGACGGCTACATGTGGCCGGAGGAAGAGAAGCTTATCAAGCATGTATTGGTAATAAATGAACGAGCACTCGCTTTCAAAGACCATGAATGGGGAATTTTTTGTGCTGATTATTTCTCTCCTTATATAATACTGGTAGAGCTGCATTCCCCGTTGGAGTATCCAAACATCCCTATTCCTCCAGGCCACCATGTCAAAGTCATCATAATGCTTAAGGAATTCATAGCAAATGGGGTATACGAACTGAGTCAAGCATCATACCGTTCCCGATGGTTTTGTGTTGCTAAAAAGAATGGAAAACTCCAAATTGTACACAATCTAGAGCCATTGAATGCAGTTACTATAAGAGACGCTGGATTACCTCCAAACCTGGACAATTTTGTGGAACCATTTGCAGGAAGAATGGTATACACCATATTCAATCTCTTTTTCTATGCTCGAACACTACATCTGGCCAGCCGTGACATGACATCTTTTATGACACCACTAGTACTTCTGCGGATAGCCTCATTGCCTATGGGATTCACAAATAGCCCAGAAGAGTTTCAGAACTGCATGATGTTTATATTACAGGATGAAATACCAGATATCACCAGTATATTCATCGATGACCTCGCCATTAAGGGATTGGTTACTAAGTATCCCGACAAGCACGGCCATCCCAAGACTATTCCAGACAATCCAGGAATCCGGCGGTTTATGTGGGAACACATCAATGATGTACATCGGATAATGCACCACATTGGTGAAGCAGGAGCAACATTCTCTGGAAAAAAGACTCAAATATGTTGCCACGATGTTATCATTGTGGGACATAAGTGTACACCGGAAGGGAGGTTTCCTAATGACTCAGTGGTAGAAAAGATCAAGACATGGCCACTGCCACAGACAACTAAAGGCATACACGGATTTTTGGGATTATGCAGCACTGTGCGCATTTGGATTAAGGACTATTCTAAGTATGCAAGACCACTCACAGAAATGGTGAGGAAGGACACTGATATAGAATGGGACGACCAATGAATCCAAGCCTTTGAAACTCTAAAAGAGAAAGTCTGCAGTGCACCTACCCTTAGACCAATCAATTATACATCGGAAAATCCAGTCATTCTATCTGTTGACTCGAGTCAAATAGGGGTGGGATTTGTTCTCTCTCAGTTAGACGATGATGGCAAGAAACGACCAGCACGATATGGTTCTATCCCTATGAACAAGGTAGAGGCCGCCGATAGCCAACCAAAGTTGGAGTGTTATGGACTTTTCCGCGTACTCAGGTATTTCCGGTTATACATAGCCAGGGTCAAAACCTTCACGTGGAAGTAGACGCTAAATTCATCAAGAAGATGCTGAATAATCCCAATTGCTTCCCGAACGCTTCTATGTCTTACCACCCTGACATTTTCACATTCCCAGACACTCAGTCTAAAAGACGGTTTCTGAATCAAACTGCACAGTTCTTTGTGCGAGACAAGGCATTGTTTAAGAGACAAGATGGTCAACTCCCAGCCAAAGTCATCTACAATCAACTAACTTGGCAGAGAATTCTATGGGAGGCACATGAAAGCCTTGGTCACCGTGGAGTGGAGGCAGTGTTTCAAGCCAATAAGTTATGGTTCTACTGGCCAGGGTTATATCAAGATGTGCAACATCATGTGCAGTCATGCCACCAATGTCAGATCCATAGCACAAAGAAAGTGGAAGTACCACTGGCTATTAGAGTTCCCACAACCATATTTACTCATGTCTATCTAGACATCATGTTCATGCCTCCCGTGCAAGGATACAAGTTGATTGTAGCTGCCCGAGATGATTTCACTCAAGCAGCAGAAGGACGGGCATTGCAACGAGCCGATGCATTGAGTATTCGGAAGTTCTTTTGGGAATAGATCATTTGCCGCTATGGGGCAGGAGCCGAGGTCATCACAGATAATGGAAACAAGGTACAGGAAGCATTCCAGCAGCTAGTGGATAAGTATGGCATCTCACATGTCAGGATATTTCCATACAACTCGAAAGCTAACGGTGTAGTAGAGAGAGGTCATTTCATCATCTGTGAGGCGATTATCAAGTTGTGTGAAGGCAATGTGAATCTTTGGCCAAATAAGGTCCATCATGCATTCTTCGCAGATAAGGTCTTTACACGAGAAGCAACCAGCTTCAGTCCCTTCTACATGATGCCTGGAGTTGACCCAGTCCTTCCCTTCGACCTCACAGAAGCAACATTTATAGTAGTAGAACTATTGGCACTGCACATTCGACAGCTAGAGAAGCATCCTGAAGACTTGGCCCATGCCACAGAGAAAATCAAGCAAATGCGGATTAGGTCTAAGCAACATTGGGAAAGAATCTATGAGCACCGATTCCTACATGAACAGCCCAAAGATGGTGACCTAGTATTAGTACGCAACACCGCTATTGAGAAGTCACACAATAGAAAGTCAAAGCCAAGATACTTGGGACCATTTGAAGTCATTGGGCGATCTAAAGGTGGATCCTATATACTGTGGGAATTGGATGGCACCTTCATCCGACAAGGAGTAGCACCCTTCAGACTCCTACATTATCACGCATGAAGCAAAGACTATCTACCAATAGCAGAATTATTGGAGGAAGAATTGGCATGGGATGACATACCAGATGAAGCAGACAACAAAGTACAGGAAGTCTATGATGACACATACTCAGAAGAGGAAGATAATATAGACAAGACATGAGTCAGCAACTAGACAACAAATGTGGGAAGCATTATCTATATATAGGCAAGGTGTTCAACCAGTATATAAGAGTCAGCAGCTACCATAAGCGACAAGTCAACCATGGATGCTGCCCAAGACTCTCTCCCTGTGCTCAACTACTGTATATCCGTCAGAAATAGCTAAGGATATAGAAAAACTGTTTATTTATCTATTCACTGAGCTATATCTATCAGAAAAATCCCACAAAATTCCGTCGGCGCCGAGGACGAAGCCGAGATAGTTCACCTCTGGGTGGTCGAAAACACACTTCTTTGCGTTGGCAAAAATGTGCGCTTCCTTGAGGCGGTCGAGGACCTTCATGACGTGCTGATCGTGCTCTTCCTGCATGCACAAGAAGATCAGAATATCATCAAGGTAGACAATGCAGAATACGTCGAGGTAATAACGGAGCGTATCCTGGATGAAAGCCCGAAATGTGGATGGGGTATTTGTCAGCCCAAAGGGCATAACGAGAGTCTTGTAGAGACCAAGGGGTGTGCAAAATGTGGTCTTCCATTCGTCTCCTTCCTTGATGTGGACGAGATTGAGCGTGCTTTTGAGGTCAATGACCGAGAAGGTCTTGCAGCCGTGCGTGCGGTCTAAAGGATCGTCAATGAGTGGGAGCGGGTACTGATTCTTCTTCGTGATCACATTGAGGCCACAATAATTGACACAGAGTCAGAGTTTGCTGGACTTCTTCTTCACGAAGAGGATGGGTGTGGCGGCGGGCGAAGTCAAGCGGTGAATGAACCCCTTGTGCAGGTTCTCGTCGAGATAGTGGCAAGTGCAGCACGCTCATCTTGTGACAAGCGGTACAGCGGGCCAAACGGCAGATCCTTGCCCTCCTCGATGTCAATGGTGATGTTGTAGGGTCGGTGTGGCAGAAGTTCATCAACCTTCACTGTGGAGAAGACTGTCAACATCCAGGGCATGTACTTGGGCTTCTGCTCTTCCACACCTGAGTCATTGTTGTCATTATCTGGCCCGAGATCCAAGGGAGAAACACCGGACGTGGTGTTGATTGAGGAAATCTTGAAATCAGCAAGCGTGAATCTTAAGACTGAGACCTGCTCAGAGTGAGAACAATTAGCTGTGACAAGCGACGTGCAGGGGAACACCCGTTGGGGTTACCAATCACTTAGACAGTCGGAATGTCCAAGCAACTGGGTAGAGTTGGAGGGAAAGGCAGCATCGTCGGCACTTACTATAGGCAAGAGTATACGCAGATAAAGAGGAGCTGAGCTCGACTCAAGGTCACTGGACACGAGGTCGACAGCGACGCAATGGACACCTAATGGACTCAAGGTCAAACACTAAGTCCCCAAGACACAAGTTAGCATAGTATCTAGTACAGAGACGGTTACTCACCTAAGTCCCCAAGACACAAGAGGTCAAGATGGGGACTTAGGGCAAGCTACAGGGGTCTTATATACATAAATCTATGGTCCAAGAATAGTACAAGAGAATCACATGCAGGGCACAAGGATGAGTAAGACCGACCCACTTAGGTGGGTCAGGATTATGAATCGAGGAGTTAGAAGGAATAACAAGTCATTGTTCATGAGTAAGCGGAATAAACCTCCGGTGGCTGTGCAAGGCAGTACAGGGCAGTGTCAATGATGCTGTACTGCTGCCACTGAAGGTCACGTGACTTTGGAAAAGGAAAGGTGGGAAAAGGAAAATGATAAGTCCATATTTAGAAATGAAAAATGCGAAAATAAATTGTCCTTCTCTTCTCATCACATTAGCGAAGCATCGTGGATTCAGATTTTTGATATCCGGAGTATGTTTGAGAGGGGACCCACAGTAAGAGCGACCGAAGCCGGTCCAACCTGGGAGTGACAAGAAATACGAGGGTGTGGGCGTGGCATCTGGCAGTGGTGGAGGTGCCGAGTGTTCTGGTACATCATGAGAGGGGTGTCCAGGAGATGCATCTGGAGGCAATTTCAGAGAGTCATGGGTGGAGACGATGGTGTGTTGGTGTAGACCGAAGCCTAGGCCAACCGATGTAGAGGCGAGAGCATTGACCGAGGTTGTGACCAGGTTGAACGTAAGACCAAAGCCTTGCGCACAAACGTTGATGGGCGAGGAACATGTGAGGTTGCAGCAGTCAAGGGTGAGGTCCATGTTGACCCAATCAATCCATGGGTTATGAAGGTGGAGCCAGTTGAGCCCTAAGATGATCGGGTAGCCGACAGGAACAACGTCAAGCGAAATAATCTCAGTGTGTTTATTGATGAGGACTTGAGTGACAATGTTGTGGGTGATGAGGCTGTTCGTGATTGGTTGATCATCGACGGCCGTGACGGGGACAGGAACCTCCTTGAGTATGCAAGGAAGTCCATGTCTAGCAGCAAAACAATCAGATATACATGATCAAGTGGCGCCAGAGTCAATTAATGCGAAGGTTTTGATAGGTTTTTGATTAGGAAAGGAGAGCGTGAGATCGATAAAGAAATGGTTGGGAGAATTAAGATATGATGATGCAGAAAACTGATAGGAATGAGGGAGCACGGGACAGGGTATCCAAGATCTGTCAGAAAGATGGGAATAGAGGGACTCAGCATTTTGTGGCCGGTGGGTCCTGGCACCAGCTGAGAGTCCTACATCAGAAGGACCACCTAGGCCTTTCCCGACTTGGAGGCAGGAGCGGCCGAGTGGGCAGCATCGCACTTCTTTGTGGCATCCAACTTGTTTGGGCAGTCGTTCACAAAGTGCCCGGAACCTCCGTAGTACATGCAGAGGCCGGCGGCAATGTGGCAAGCACATTCATCCACCATGAGCTTCCTGCATGGTGAGACTGATGAATCACATTGATTTGCATTGTGTTTGGGTCAACGGGGGCGGTCATGGTGGTCATGGTCACATTTGACGTGGAGGCGGTCAATGAGGAGTGGTGTGCAGATGAGGAGCGGTTGCCCTTCTTCTCATCCTTGACCTCAATCCGATGCTTGTGAAGGCTGTTGTCGAACTCAATGGCGATGGTGGCATAGTTGTTGAATGTTGTTGGGGCCAGGCAAACCGTGATCATGAGTCTTTGAACCTCCTCCTTGAGGCCATGCTTGAAGAATTCAATCTTCGACGGTTTGGTGAACTGTAAATGAGGGAGTAGTTCTTTAAAATGGGCAATATAATTGCTACATGCGCCTGTCTGGCAGAGAGTGCGAAGCTTGCACAACGCACTCCCAGCCATGTTAGCCTCCCCAAAGTGACTCTTGAACTTGGCAATCAGATCATCGAACGAGTTCAGGAGAGCTGGGGTGTCAGTCTTGATGCTGAACCACCAGGACTTCAGGGGACCATCCACGAGATAGCCGCTGAACCAAAGGGACTTCTTATAGTCAGTGGTGATGGACTTGCGCTGGTGGTAAAGGCCGGCATCAACCTCATCAAGGAAGAACTTGACCTGCTCCGCTTTGCCGTTGAACTTGCGTGGCGGCTCAAACTTGGGTTGCGGGCCAGACGGTGCTGTGGAAGTGGCAAAGGCAGGGATTGAAGCGGGAGCAGGAGCCATGTTAAGCTGTATGAACTGGTGGAGGATATGGTCCAGCGTGTTTGTGGTGTGGTCCTGGTTCTGACCGAGGGTATAGATGGTTGTGGGCTGCAGTTACTGCGGTTGGGGGCCTCCGTGTTGGGGGCTGGAGGAGGGTGTTGATCCCAGTTGGCGTTGCTGAAGCTGTTGTCCAAGCCATCCATGTTGAGAGCAGGTGAGAGAGTTGGGGGTGCAAGGCAAAAAAAAAGGTCAGTGAGTCCAAGGTCATCAGGGTGATAAGGGCTATGTGCCGAGGATTGGTCTCAACAAACTGTCACAGGCAAGGCCGAGCTGGCAAGATGACTGGACAGTAGCCGTGAATGTGTAGAGTAGACTAGGCGAGGATATACAAAGAGCGATGTATACGGTAGCTGGGACTGGCATTGTTGAGACGAAGAGGCAAGCACCGTGTGCACCACCTTGGTACATGTGCGAGAAAGGGGTGAAGCCCCAAAATGGAATCTAAATTACCGACTCGGGTGCGTCAAAACCTTCCAAGTGGTCAGGAAAGCTACCAGCCATCTACATCTACCTCTCCAGGTGGCCTTAACCATCATAATCTTCAGAAGAAGAGTACGTGGATTTGCAGATCCCAGTCAATACAACCTTGAGGAATTTTCACTGTTTAGAATTGACATGTTTCGTCTGGTCCTTATTTATGATGGAACATGCATGTCCAAAGTTTGGCCGTACAATGACGGTTTTTGACCACGTCTCCTTGAATCTGTTATCAATTACCGTTCTTGTGAACCCTTGACACTGGGTGGGAAAAAGAATTTCCAGAGCAGGAAATGCACTGTAAATGGGCTGGAAATTTCAATTTTTCAGTCAATATTCAGCTCTGGAAATGGTACAGGTTTTGCTATATCCCAGCCCGCATTTCCAGCACCGGAAATGCTATGCAGAATTTGTATGGAAATGGTAAACCTCAGAAGCAGAAACCCAAGAGGTTTATCATCTCTATACAATTTCCGCATAGCATTTCCAGCGCTGGAAATGTGGGCTAGGATATAGCACAACCTGTACCAGTTCCAGGACTGAAAATTGACTGGAAAATTGAAATTTCCAGCCCATTTACAGTGCATTTCCTGCTCTGGAAATTCTTTTTTCAACCCAGTGTGAGCAATATTCATGCCCAGTGAAAAGTGCCTCTGTATTACCAAATTGCCTGGAATAGGCTGACCCCCTCACTGAGTAAGCAAACCTAAGCAAGTGTTTGCATGCGTATTCCAGCGAATTGTGCAATGTAGTCCAAGATGCATTGCTCTCGCAGCTTATTTTCTGAATTAGCCAGAATTCAGCATGCTGCCGTGCACGCACAAAAGGCTTCTGGCTCCGGTCATGGGCTTGCAAAATTGTGTCAAGTCCACGGGACACAAATTCCCATGGCTTGCCAACTATGTTCATCGTCCTGCTGGCACTGTGGGCTACCTTTCCATGAAGGACCTGCCCCATGGCATCGACAGCGATGCAAACACAACAACCAAACACTGCTCTCAACGATGTACGCACAATTGACACACACCCCTCTATGACAGCACACGCACTGGTTTGCCACCCTGAACAACATACACTCCCTGGCTTGCCATTGTCAGGGCATGGCTCCCACACTCGCCTCATGTCCCATTGTTCCCGTTTTGGTTCCGCTTCTGTCCCATTTTGTTTGATTCCCCTAATGCTTCTGCCTCCCTATTTGGTCACGCTCTCCCGCGCCCTCCTAGGCTTCCCGTGCCCTCCTTTTGGCATATCCCCTATTTGTTCTGTCGCTCGGCGCTCCTAGGACCTCCACACCTCGCGCGGCCTTCCTAGGCCGTTCCACTGGTCACGTGTCGGGCGCCCAAGGACCCTCCCCTTCTCTCATTGGACCATCTTTCGTTGCGCTGATGGATTATTCAGCTACTATATAGTCACCTGTCGCACCAGGGAGCAACCCAGACTTGTTCTCTCAGCTGCCTCCCTGCCTTGTGCAACAGGTATGTGTATTCCCTTTGTATCTTCGTATATATACTCAGTTGCCTCCCTGCCTTGTGCGACAGTGTCTCCACCGCCATCCCAAGGGATCTGCGCTGCTCCTAGGAGCTCCAGCGCGTACTCTGACAACCTGCTTGCTGCAAGTACTGGCTTGTCACCTGTCCCCACCGCAACTAGCTGTCCTCCGTGTTCTGCAAGTACCAAGGCCTCCACAACAGTGCCAGCAGCATGGACTTTGGCGATGAGCTCACCTCGCTCATCTCATCTCGCACCTGAACAACAGCACCAACCCAGGTCAGCAGCAGCAGCACCAGTCTTTGCACAAGCTGTCCACGAGCGCCTACAGCGATGGCTACCGGCCCCTGATACACAACATCTTAGACATCTCCAGCCTGCCAATACACACCCTGCACCTCACCGGCTCCACGACCTCACCTGGTGTGCCCTCCTCCAACTCGCACACCTTCTCCCTCCTGCAGACGATTCACCGTGCACCCAATCTTGGCAGCATGCCCTCACTTGGGACCCACTACCACCAACACCACCTTGGCTCGCTGCACAACTTCTCCACCCCGGCGCACTTCAACTTGACCCTGCTCATGCTCAACTCGTCCATGCGCTTCGACCCGCACCCATCGCAACTGCAGAAGCAACAGCCGTCCTCGCTCTCGTCCTCCTTCTTGCACGTGCCCTCAAGTACTTGCTCAACCAGTCAATCTGCTTTCTCACCTGGCACACACCCTCACCTGTCACCTGCAACGACTCCCAGCTGGGCACTGGCATCTCCTCGGACTTGCACCCCCGCTCCCACTCCTGGACGCCCTCCCACAGCCCCAGCCCAACCTGCACACAGTCCACATCCTGCACTGCGTGCACCTCCCACGCCAAGTGCAACTCAATCTCCTCTGGCAGCCCTCCCCCGTGCCCCCAGCCTGGCCCGATCATCATCCCCCCCTCCTCCTCCAACCCTCCTCCCCTGGTCAACCTCAACCTCAACCTGATTGGCCTCAGCGGTCCAAACAGGGTCAACGGCATGGGCTCGCCGCTGCACAGCACAGCTGGGGGCTGGTACGTGCCCGTGCACATGCCGTTGCATGCCCACCCCGAGTTCAGCCTGCCGACGCCGGACTCAATCAGCTCCCACACCCGCTTTTTGGCAGCCTCAGTGCGCCACACGGGCTCGGCGTCAGCCCAAAGGACATTGTGATCATCCGCGAGAACCTGGCCGCCACCAACGACCCGCCAGCAAAACAGTGAGTGTTGAATCTATGTGTTGCCCTTCTTCTCATGCGCATATACTCACCCCATTCCGCTCTTTTTTTAATAGTCATACACCGATGGCAATATCTGGCCATCCTCGCTGCTTGTACATTCGCCAATGCACCACCCTCAAATGTACATGTGCCCTGACTGCAACTGGCGGCCCTCGATGACATGCACCAAAAGGACAGTCAGGGTTATTATTCAGATCATCTATACTACCGTTGGATAGTGTTGTAGTGTACCCCTGAATAAGAATGTTTTCTACTCTGATATACCCTAAGGCCCAATAATTGGCCCACAACAGAATTGGAACCATATAGAACTGCTGGAAATTCAAAGGGATTTGGGGGAGTATGATGTGCATCCAATCCCACCACGTATGCATTGAAATGTGGTGGAACAACAGCCCCTTGGAGCACTAGCAATATGACCATATACCAAGTAATTTGGGTGGCAGTGTCAAACAGTGTAAAAACGCATGCATGGCTGAATACCATTGAATAAATTGACGGTACTGTAGCGCGCCCAACGCGAACATGCCCGCCAACGTTGTAGTGGTACGAGGCCAGTGGGGTGGACCAAGCAATGATGAGTGTATGCGAGTCCTCGAGGCGCCGCAGAGGCTGCCGAGATAGCGGATAGTAGTGTAGATGAACAGAGATGGGGGACAGGGTTTCGACGGCTAAGCTGGAGGTCGGGCGGTTGCTACGCTAGTTTCGGTCGCTGTGTTCGGTCGCAGATGACGGGGACTTCGTGTATACGCTAGGGTGAGCCTGTGCTATCGCTAGTGTACATAGATATCGAGGATTTATACGTGCGCTCGTGCCTGCATCCGTACGCGACCATCACTCCTATCTTTCGCCCCTGCTGATCCCTCGTCCCTCGTCCCTGGCCGTATCGAGCCCATCGCCCGCGCATGCGGTTGTCGTCGAGATCGAGCGGCCGGTAACCGCGGGTCGTGATGAATCGAGGCCGCCGATTTGCCAGATGCGAAGTCGTCGTCGTGGGCCAG